AGCGTATCTTTTGTGTAGTTTTAGTTTCAATTTCGCTAATAACTGATGACCTTTGAACATCTTTTCATGTGATTGTATTTCACTTGTGTTCTTTAATGAAGTGTTCAAGTCTTTTGCACACATTGTAGTTGCATTCTTTGTTTTCTCACTATAGAGTTTTGATCCAAATCCTTTTTTATATGTTACTTTTGAACATTTCTTTCATCTCTGGCTTTTCATTCACTTTTTGGTTGTATCAGCACCATTTGTTGAAAAGACTTCCTTTTCACACTTAACTCCTTTGATCTTTGGTGAAAATCAACTAGTCGTACATATCTTCACTCCCTATTCTCTTCCAATCATCTGTGCTCCATCTCTGTAAGACCACAATGTCTTTGTTACTGTTGTTCATAATGAATAGTGTAAGACCTCCAACTTGGTTTTTCCAAAGTTATTTTTGGTATTCTAGGTTTTTGATATTTTCTATGAAATTTAGGGTCAGTTAGTCAATTTCTCCAAGAGAAGTACTTTTGATAAACATTACATTTAATCTGTAGATCAATTTGGGGATAGCTGACTTTTAGCAGTATTAAGTCCTCAGACCCATGAACATTGTATGTGTGTGTTCTTTAACTGTAGGTATATAATTTCTATACTTGATGTAAGTTATATTATTTAATTTTTAATATGTATTTATGCATACAAGAACTGGGGCACAGGCCAGAGGTGCAGGGGTTGAAAAGATTCACCAGAGACAAAGTGGGGAGCAAAACAGGCAGATCAAGTGAAATGCACTGCTGAGGGGAGAAGTGGTTGAGACAGGAGTGGCCCGCTGCACCACGTGGGTCACCTCTCTGGCTGGGGATCAAACTTATGCTGCAGTGGCTGCAGAGAGCTTCACAGTGCTGCACTTTAACATGTTGTGTCACCAGGAAGAGCCCTATTTAATTTTTTTACATATTTCTCTTAGCAGTCTTTCATTTTGAATATACAGTTCATGCATGCCTTTTGTCCGATACCTAAGTATTTCATTTTTAATTTGTTATTGCTACATTTCTTACTGCAACTTTTATTTTCTTAGAAAATACTATAATATCTACCAAAAGTTTAGATAGGTAGCAAAACAAAAGATTATTATTCAGAAGGCAGTCATATTTCCAGTGCTACCAAACAGAGCACATAGGGTGTTGTTTAATTTTCAATTATCTTTAAAAAGTTAACTGTAAAAATAGTTTTTATTTTAACATTTTTATTACCTTTAATTTCTTTGTGTTAATGTAGTGTTCTTTTCCGTTTACCTAGTGGAATTTCTTTACATTTCCTGTATTGTCATAAAAATAATATTGACATAAATTATTATATAAATATTTTAAACCTTTCATTGAAGGACACAAGAAAACTAATAATAACAGGTATTGAATGTATGCTGTGCTGTGTACCAAGCACTAGACTAAGCCTTCTAGTATGTATTTTCTCTTTTCATCCTTGCAATAGTCATTTGAGGTAATGTAGTATTCTTGCCTCCATTTTACAGATAACTATTTGAGAATAACAAGTTAGACAGTAATGTACCAAATGTTCCAAAAAATCAACATTTTTTTTAAAAAATTAAGTGCCACTTCTCTGAAGAAGCATGAGCTGATAAACATTAATACTCTGCTTCTCTCGTTAACAGAAAATAGATAATTTTTAAACTACCCAATTGACAAAAATAAAGAACAATGATTAATATTGACAAGATATGAAGAATATACTTGTGCACTACTGGAAGTAGAAGTTTGTACACTTTTTATTATTATTTCGCTTTACCTACTGACATTTAAAATGTGAATATCCTTTGACCAGATGACTAACATATGAAAATCTTCATACAAATATCCAATGAAAAGTAAGTTTGAAACCTGTACCACATACCCAGTCTGGTCAAGTTGCAGCTATAACATAAGCAGCTGTGTTTCAGCTTTGATTAAAGTAATAGTGTTACAACTCCAGTATCACAGCAACCAGGGTTTTAAACTACAGCCCTGGAGATACCAGCTCAGGGAGCACTAAAGAGAATGCCAGGGTCTTTGAGGGAGCAGGAGCGCACAGAGAAAAGGGGTGGGCTAGTTCCATCTGATGCAAATGAGATGTCTAGTTACTAAAGTTTTCATTGGTGAAAGTTCGCCAAGTAATATTTGGTCAAATATCAATACTGAACGTGCTTGCCAGCTTGGCTTTACTTTCTTCTCAGCTGTGGAAGGAGTGTACATGCTGGTAAGCACCTAGACAAGCCTTGACATGCCGAAAGTCTGGGGTCTGGCTCTCAGTGGCCTTCCTGCTCCCTTGATTTTTACTCAGATAGGGATCTCTATGTTTTTCCTATTTAATGTATCATGTGTGTTTCTAATAAAGGACATTTAAATAAAGACAACTCAACTGTCAACAGCAGGATGTTTAAATAAATGATAGCTAGCCATATAATGGATTAGCTATTGAAAAGAGTGTGCTGGAGTAGGCAATTTGAGTAACTCCTGCTAGGAGATACAAATTGATATAGTTTATGTGGGGGGAATTCTCAAAATAGATATCAAAACTCCTTATTCAGACTATATGCCCTTTCATCCACTTTACCCCCATGAGTGGAAAGATAGAAGTTGCTGAAAAATATGTGTAGTAGACCCCAGTATTTTTTTAAGATATATAAATAAACTTATATGTTTGAAAGATGCACACCAAGTTAACAGTGTTTATCCCTAGAAAGGAACTTTTAAAATGTCTCTGATACTTAAAATGTCAACTTTTAAAATGTCTCTGATACTTAAAGTTTATAACTTTTGTAACAGTTTCATAGTAATTCTAAAATGATATATAGATGAACACATAGAGAAACTGGCTCAAAAGAAACAAAGTTTTTCAAACCAAATAAATCAAGGTTCTTCCTTCCTTGGCTTATGTAGAATTTTAATTTTATAAGTAAGCTCTTGGCACTGCCTGTAGGGCTCTCTGAAACTTAAAAGGACAAAATTCTAGAGGTCTCAAGATCCTCAGTGCAAAATCAAGGTAGTTAGTGAGCAATAAGATGAGAAACTTTGGTATACAACATTTACAATCTTTATAAATTCCTTTCAGTTATAAAATTGACATGTTAAGCTACCAACTACAGTGAGAAGGTTGTTGCAATTATATTGTGTGTTTGAAATTATGACCAAATTAGAACGTAACAATGAAATCAGTGCATTAGCTTTGAAAAGAGAAGTCAGTGGCACATGTTCACTCAAAAGATGGATCAATATTATGTGTCAACTATAGAAGACTGTAGAAAGTCTGCCTTTATCACATTATAATTTTATATAATCTCTTGCTAACAAAACAAAATAACCTTTATTTCTGTGAAATATCTATTGAAGTTGTTAGCTTTATTAGTAAGATGGGTAAATTACCTGGAAAGTATATTATAAATTAAAATTTTAAAATGTTATTAGATAAGAGACAAAGGATAAACCGTTATTCCTTTTATTAGAAAAATACTACTATATGTTGGGTCTTGGACAAAGTCTCAAAGATTTCCAAGAAAATATTGTCATCTGGGAGTTTTTTCTTTTGTTAAGTAACGTTCTTGTGAACTATTTGTGTAGGAGTTTTTTACCTAGAAAAATAATTTGAAGCCAATCATGCTTAGTGCACTTTTGAAATTGAATATTTTGTGTATAGGTTTCCTTACTGTATGGAACAATATGAAATTTTTCTTTCTTAAAATAAAGAGTGGTTTTCTTTTCAAAATTGTCCAGATCAGAAGTAATATTTTTGTGTGGAATTAAAGGAATATGACTTTATCACTTTTTTCCAATAATTATTAGAAAAAAATTTGAGCAGTAATGAACTTTCAGCCCTTTTAATCTATTATTTTCTGTGAACATAGAAGAAAGTGAAGGAATGTGTATAATAGAAAAATGCCTATAAATAGAAGCCATTACATAAATTATGTTATTTTTTCTTTTTTTATTATATTTCTTTACAACATTCTTCATTTTGTGCATCAGTTGTAATCCCTGTGGGTTTCTTACCACCAATTCACCCATGTGCCATCACTACAGTCCAGTGCATTCTTCCCACCCCAGTTCTGATCCCATTCCCCCTCACACCCCCATAAAAGGTCTCTGATTTATAGTTGTTCATGCTTACTGAAGTAAGCAGAAAGTAAAAGAAAAATACTGGATGGTTTCACTCATAGCAGGAGCATAAGGGACCGAGGTGGGAGGGGTGGGGAGAGAGAGAGAACAAACAAAGGTAATAAAGTGAAAAAAAATGTATACTATTTTTAAAAGTTCTATAAAGGAAGTATTTTTACCCAGCTGTACTTTATATATAAGAAGATGAAAACAAACATTTTTTCAAAGATCTAACTATATGACAGGAATTGTTCTTAGTACTTTACATACAGTATTTCATTTCATATTTCAATCATCATGTAACTTGTTCTTCAGTTTACAAATAAATATTGAACCTTCAAGGTTAAATAACTTACATAGCGCTGAATGTCAGAGCCAGGATCTAATTCTGGTAATCTGCTTACAGAATCTAAACTCATAACCACTTTGCCTGTTGAGTAGAATTCAAGAGTAAGGACTTTATATTGTATGCAAAATATAATATTTGTTTTATCTCAGACTAGCTGAACAATATCTACTCTACTGCCTGTTAGGGAAGCTGAAATTCCGTCAATATAGATTCACTGTGTTGGGCTTACAGGAATTGGGGTTTACCAGGGGACTCCAACTATAAAGCAAGTATTTGTCTAACGTGTTACATCCAAAGAATAATGATAGCGTCCAGATACCCAGTGATGGAACACAGGGTGGATGCTTGTGAAGTAGTAAGGGAGGAAGGACAGACTTGGGAATCAAAAAAAGCAGTAAGATATGGGGGTATTTTTCATATCGCTTTACTACATACCATTTATCGTCACTGTGAGTCTAGGAAATACTGCATAGCTGATGCAGTATTGATGTGTTAACAAATATATTTCATTTATCTTACAGCAATCAGCAGGCCTTTTTGCTGGAGAATGTCCCTTGTAACAATGCAAGCTGTGAGGGGGCGCATCGCATGTTTAAAGTCTACTGGGAGCTAACGGACCTAAATCAAATCAGAGACGCAGTGGTTGCCACCTTCTTTGACATTTACGAAGACGTGAGTTCAGAACTCTCCTGTGTATTTGAAATCTAATTACCACCTCTACCTTGTCTCACTTTCAGTTCACCCTAATTGACCAGAAATTGTAGATGAGATAAGGAAAACAAATGGGTTAATTAAAGAATGCTCCCTTCAGTGTTAAATGGCACAGAGAACAAATTCATTGAAACCACCAACTTACCAGTACAGTGAAATATGAAAGTGCCTTTATCTCCTTTTGTACTTACTTAGATTAAGACCCTAGAGAATCATGCTCTGAGATTGGCAAATGTGTATATGCACCAGTGGACAAAAATACAAAGTCACTTTCTTAACTTTGTGAGCCAGAAGTGGAGTCTAATGCCCGAGTTCTGTGACTCTTTCTTCAGTTGCCAGGTGAAAGTCATTCAGGTCCTTGGTTTCCTCCATTGTAATTATGAAAAGCCATAGAAAAGTAATGAATTCTAATGATAATATGTTAACTTTGAATTTATTACAGCATACCCTTGGAAAGTGACTTGATTATTTTAAAAAATAAAATGCCCATCAGGACTTATGTCTCCTCCAGCCCCACTTTGGGTTTGGTTTGGTTTTTATGTAAAAGGCTGATTCTCACAATTCTGCGAATTAATTAAGTCCTTGTTTTCCTATTTCTCTGCTTTCACTTTTTGTTATTTCACTTTTTGTTAGCAGTTTCCAAGCATAAAAATTATCGACAGAAATAGCTCAATCAAGAGTATTGACTGCAAATCAATTTTTCATTTTTGTACATCAAAGCATCATAAGTAAAATTTAAATTTTTCATAATTCTGTGAAATGAATATGCTAAGGAGAAAGTCAAGTAGCATATTCTCACCATTAAAAATAGTTTATACAAACTGAGATAAGTCATCAAAAATTTCCACTAGATAAACAGAACCTAGTCAGTTTACATTAAAAAAAAAAAGTGGCCAACATATTTTTAAAATACCATAAATGATCAACCTTCTTCAGAGTCAGCAAATGGAAATTTAAATAAGTATACTTATTTAAAAGTATAAGTAAACTTATGTGCCCCTCTCCCCAAAAAAAATTAGAAAAATTTTTAGGGAAAAATGCATGATAGCCTAAGTTAATGTCATCTCTATGGCTGGAAACACTTTGGCAGTCCATGTCATATGCCTTCAGAAATTCATGGAAATAAATATAGCAAAATACTAAAATCACCTCCAGAGATTACAATTACAGTGTTTTTCATATTAAACTATTCATGGTTTTATATATTTTTAATTATATTTTTAATTTAAATATAAAGTCAGTGAATACTACATAATAAACATGCCATGTATTTTCATCATTTCTTCACTTGGTCTAGGGCTGTGTTGTCATCATTTTATGCCAATGTTTTGCTTTGTGTTTTTTTTTTCAGGGAATCTTGGACATTGTAATACTAAGCAAAGGATATACAAAGAATGATTTTGCCATCCATACACTAAAAAATAACTTTGAAGCAGATGCTTATTTTGTTAAAGTCATTGGTGAGTATTTATTTTATATAATTATTAAAACAATTCATGTATTTATTTTTATTCAGGAAACATTGGTGTACAGCACTGTAGTGATTCAGAAGGTTCACCCCTCCTCAGCGTCATCACACACCACACCCACCACCAGAGCACCTGTATCCCCGTTCCCATTGGGACCTGCCCTCTCATTTGTTGCCATACACTCCCCGTCTCGAGCCGCCACTCTGCAGTCTGGTCTCTAGACTTTTTTTGGTTAATTTGTTGGTTCCTTTGTTTCTCTATATTCCACATATGCATGAAATCATCTAGTAGTTGTCATTCTTTTATTTCATTTAACATATTCTCCTCCAACTCCATCCATGTTGTTTCAGGTGGCAAGATATTTTTTTTAAGTTTTATTTATTTATGCTTACAGAAGTGGGGTACAGGCCAGAGGTGTGGTAGGTGAGAGGATTCACCAGAGACAAAGTGGGGAGCAGAACAGGAACACTGACGAAGTACATTGCTGAGGGAAACAGTGGGCAGGTCAGAAGAAGTCTGCCACGCTATGTGGGTCAGCTTGGTGGCCAGGGATCGAACTTGTGCTGCAGTGGCTTCGGAGAGCTTCATGATGCGATGCTTTAACCTGTTGCACCACTAGGGAGGGGCCTCAAGTGGCAAGATTTAGTCATTTTTGTAGATGAGAAATATCCCATGGGTATGTATCTATTTTTAATATTTTAAAACACCTTAGGAGGTTCTCCTCCAATGGCAAGAGAAGAGAAAGCAAATATAAATAAATGGGAATACCTGAAACTAAAATCTTCTGAACAGGAAAAGAAATTCTGAGCAACAAAAGATACCCAACTGAATGGGAGAGAGTATTTGAACATAACACATCTAACAAAGGGCTGACAGCCGATGTATATAAAGAACTCTTGAAACTCAACCAAAAGAACATAATTTAACCTAATTAGAAAAATGGGCAAAAGAACTAAATAGACACTTCTCCAAAGAAGACATACATATAGATGACCAACAGGCACCAGCAAAATGCTAACTATCACTCACCATCAGGAAAATGAAACTCAAAACCATAACGAGAGAGGCTGCTTACACTAGGGCCTGCTGCTGCCATGTCTTTCATTCTGAGGCCATCTGTGTCCTCATTCCGGATTTTGTACATTTCCCCTCTTCACTGTACATTGGAGTACTTCTTAGAAACATTTCTTAAAGAGGACTGGGGTTGGCAAATTCCTCTGCTTTTGTCTGGAAAGGCCTTCATTTCTCCCTCACATCTAAAAGAGTCTTGCAAAATTTAGTACTCTTGGCTGACAGTTTTCAGTCATTGAGCATTTTGAATATGTTGCTCCACTCTCTCCTTGCGATAGCATAACTGCTGGAGGATCTTTATAAGTTAGCTACTTTATTCTCCCCGTTCACTTCAGTATTCTTTCTCTCTTTCAAACTATTGGCTCTTTCATTATCCTAGGTCTTATAGGTCCTGTTGCGTTTAGATATCAGTGTGGTGTTTTAGCTCCATGGACTTGAATATTTCGTTCTTTCTCCATGCCTCAATTTTCCTTTATTTCTTTGAGTTAGCTTTCTGTTCCACTCTTTCTCTCTTCACCTTCTGGTACCTATTGCAGAATAGTTCTTGAAGTGTTTCATTTTTTTTTTTTACTTCATTTTTCTCTTTTCCACCTCAGTCCTTTGTATATTACTAACTTTTTTTTATTCACTGACTGAACCTCCCAGTTGGTCTATTCTGTTTCCATAGCGTTTTGTGGGATCTCATCTATTGTGCTCTGTACATTCTGTTCTCTATTATTTTCTAGTTTAAAGTTTCTATTTCAGTTTCGTGTTCATTAATTTTATTTCTCAGGTCATCCTTTTTTCTGAATTTTGTTACCTTTGATTAACTTTTGAGTAATCCTAAGTCACTTTGATATGTCCTCTATATTTTCTTGTGCCTCTTTAACATCTTGAGCTCTTTATCTTATAGGAAGATGAAATCTTCCATGTCTTTTTGTGGGATTCTGGAGAATTGTTTTCCCACTCTAATCCTATATTCCCATGAGATTTCAAGGTGGCATATGTTTTTTACTTTCCCATTTTGCTGCTTTAGCTTTCTCTATTTTAGAAAAATGTTTGCAGTAGTCAGTTAGTTGAACTATTCATACTACATGTGGCACCTTTGTTTTATTTCATTTGGTTTTATGCGTTTGGTTATTGTTGACTTCTGTAGAAACTGAATCCTCTTTCTTGCAGTGCTGCGTCAGGTGGTGGTGGAGGGGGCCCAGAGAGGTTAATCCACTGATGGTAACATGCTGGGATAGAGGTTGACTGGCATGTTGGGCACCATTTATACCTTTCTGGGGTTCCAGATTGCAGACACTGAAAGCTGAGCTCTGTGAGCATACTTGAGATCAGTACTAGTCCTGATGGATGGAGGAGGGGTAACACAATATACTATATTGTCTTTGTTATTTTACCAATACTCGGCATTTTTTTTCCTCAGTCAAGAGTGTATGTTTCCACTTGGGTTAGCTCTTCACCACCACAGCTCCTGGCTCAGCTGGCAGCCCCACTGTCCATATCTCCAGGGATTTTCTCGAGTGACTTCCTCTTCAGTGAAGTGTAACTCTCTTCACTGTCTCTTCTCCTCTGCCATCTCTGTTGGTCTAGTCACAGAACTCTCTGGATGCAGGGTCTCCCTTGTTGACCATTAGATAATCCTCTTAGGAGCAGAATTATCTTCTGTCACCATCTTGTTCTGAATCCCTGAGCTAGTATTTTTTGCTCAGTGCATTTGTCCACTTCTGTGAGCAACACTAACAAAGTATACTGTAAGCGTTCCTGACTTATATATCCTCCATCATCTGACTCCTGAGTCTGAACAGAATGCTTCCCAGTGGGTACAAGAGAAGGAGAGTTGCAGGGAGGCAGAGCTCATCAGACACTCTCACATCCTTAGTGAGCCTTTTGTGATTTTCACCATGTAGGTTCAGAGGTTTGCCTTTTCCTCTTTTTTGGCAATACTCTAAAATTATTTAGGACACTGCTGAGAAATCCCAGCAAAGTTAGCAAGAACCTCCTAGTAACAAAGGTAGACCCATCCGAGCCTTGTTGGTACCATGGGTCCAGGGTCTCTCAGATGGTCCTTATTCTCCCAACCATTCGGACTTGTCCCGTTCTCAGTTGTTGTAGTTCTGAGGTTGAAGGTTTTTCAGTGATCTGCTGAGGAATCCCGCAGCTATTGCTACATCTACTCTGACCTGGTCATCACCAATTGACTATTTTCTTTGTATTACTTGCATATTTAATATCCTTTAGAAATCCCTCAAAATATCTCCTTTTGATGACCACACATTTATCTTCATGCTTTTTAAATAATAATATTTTGGAAATTAAAACACAACAATATAGACTAGAACCAAGAATTTTTTGTAGGTCAAATTTCTGTGGATTTAGAAAAAAAATGTTTGCTAAAAATGTATAGGCACATTTATATACCTATAAAAATGTATTTATGTATAAGAGGTTATGTGTGCATATAGCATATACCTACCACATTAAATATTTAATATGCTTGCAAGTATAGAGAACAGGATCAAAATTACTTAAAGGGTCAGTCACATTTTACTTTGTGTTCTGTATTTACTTTTAATAATGAGAATATAATTTTAATTAGAAAATAATAAGTGAAAAATAAGTTATCAATCAATAACAGAAATAAGAGCATCCTATAGAATATCTGAAATAATGTCTAAATGATGAGAGCCTGGGAGGGGATCCTTTATTTCAGACATGATTGATTATGAAATTTGCTTTTTGTTCATGTGTCTTAGAGAAACAAAAACTAGAGATAATTTCAGAGAGAGAATATGAATTGTCATCCATAATCCAAGGAAGGATATTTTATTTTAAACACTATTAAAATTATTATACTGTATTGACCTTTACAGCTTTGGCTCTGTTCTTCTCATTTTTCTCCCAACTTGAATATTGGTTTGGATTACAGTGCATGATTATTGCTACTCTCTGTTTTGTCATTTGTTTATAAAGTAGCCATATAAACTGCACCACAAAACAAGAAGCCAAAGTTTTATACTTTACATATTTTAAGAATGTGTGAACTATTAAGATTCGAAATATTATCATTTTAAGGAAGACAGATGATTGCATGACCCATTAGCCATGTTTTACACTAATCTGATCTGCTAATAACCAGTAATATACATATCAATTCAGTATTTTAATTACTGTTGTTCATTTAATTCTGTGGGTAGGCTGTCTTCCTATATCTCATTAATCTTTTTGAGACTAGGGATATTAAAAATTAGTTTTAGAACAGTTTATTATAAAGAGTATTATAAAGCATTATAGTAAAGCTATATTAGATTTTGGAATATTACAAATACTTACAGTTTATAAACATTTACAAAATGATTAAAAGTTCTTTAACATCTAAATATTAGATTGTGTCTTAGCCAAGATCAACTAATTAGTAGAAAAACATTTTTTGATATAGTAAATGAGCATCCTAGGAGAGTTATTTAAAAATCAAGCAAGCAGGGCCCTCCCCGGTGGCACAGTGGGTTAGGACACAGCACTCCCTGCAAGCTGGCTGCACCTGCTTCAGTGCAAGTTGGGTCCCCACCCTGGACTTGACCCCAGGGCCCAGCAGACGTCTCCTGTCTCCCCGCTGCTCCCCTCAGCAGTGTACTTCGTTGATCTGCCTGTTCTGCTCCCCACTCTGTTTCTGGTGAATCCTCTGCACCTCTGGCCTGTACCCCATTCTGTGTGCATAAATAAATCTTTAAAATATATAAAAATAAAAACCAAGCAAACAATTGACAGTCCTTGCCTTTAGGACACCCACAGTGATGAAAACACAATGGCTACAGTTGCACACTTGTGTCTATCCTACTTATTTTTCCTGTCCTATAATGGCCCCTGTGTGTATTTTTAACACACCTTCCCGTTGTTGTTACAGTTGCTCAGGAAAACTAAGTTTTACTTCACTCAAA